AAAAATAAAATTATGAACTTTATTCACTAAAGATATTATAAGGAGAATAAAAAGACAAGTGACAGGGGGTAGAAGGTATTTGCAACTAACAAAAACTTTGTCATGACCATAATAAGACACCACTACACATCCTACAGAATGGCAAAGCTTTTTTTTAAGGGGGGGGCGGGGCAGAGGGAGAGAGAGAATCTTAAGCAGGCTCCACAACCCTGAGATCATGACCTGAACCAAAATCAAGAGTCAGATGCTTAACTGACTGAGCCACCCAGGTGCCCCCAGAATGGCAAAGCTTTAAGAACCTTTCGGTGTGTACGTGGAGCAACAGGAATTCTCATACGCGTGAGCTGGCATACCGCTCTGGAAGGATGTCTGACATTATCTACTAAAGTTGAGGACAGGTGTTTCATATGACCCAGGAATTTCACTCTTGGTTTACACCCTGAAGAAACTTATATGCATATGCATCAGCATAGTAAAGAGCAATAGTATACATAATAGTACAAACCTGGGAAAATTCCAAACGTTCTACTTACTATACACTGAGCAAATAAATTCTAGTATTTTTATTCAGTGGAATATTATATAGAAAACAGCCGAAAATAGAAAAGGTCAACTGCACAGTGATCTATGTAAAGATGCCTGTCCTCTTTAGGGTGAGAAAATGCCAGACCAACAGGGCTGAGAAGAAAATTAAAGAGAGTTCCTAGGAACCAACTGTGGCCATGGCAGGGAGTGTTTTTGTCATGTATCAACATGGTGTAGACACTGTGCTAGGCTCTTTTAAGATATGTCTACTTCTCACAACCCTTTGGTACAGTAGGAATTATTTTGCAGGTAAGGAAACTGAGGGACAGAAAGGTTAAATGACTTGCCTGAGATACACAGATGCTGGGTGGCAGAAGTGGAGATTTAAAACCAGGCATCAAAGCCCACATTCTTTCCGTTGGAGTAGAAGGTGTTGATTGCCTTGCAACGACTGTTCGCCCACTCTCCTTTCTTCCAGAACCCCGATTTTATAATGGCATGCCCTCTCCTCTATGCTGTCACCCTACGGATGGCAGAGCAAAAGATGGAACAAGCCTGGGCCCCTCGCCACTCTAGAGCAGCCCAGCCATGCCATCCAGTTGAACGTTTATTGCTTCCTTTTATTTTCTCCTTTATTTGTTTTTGGAAAACAACTCTGGGGCTAAGTGGTTCTAGAATTGTTAGGGTTCTTGACTCAAGAAGGAAATACAGTTAGAAGGCAAACTTTCCATTGCCTTCCAAACGTACACTGTAACTATGACAGAACCCAAATCGGATGGCTGTAACATGCTGCAGGACCTACAATAGAGCTGGCTGACACAGCCTGCAGAGGAGTACCAACCCAGAGGCCCCTGAGTGTGAAAGGCCTACAGCGGCCAGTGTGAGAGCTTTGTCCCAGGAGCGTGGGACATCCAAGAAAGCACTGTGGGACAGGGCTATGCTTCACCCTGCCCCCTACTCATTTGCCCTATGAAGCTCATAGGCCCCTGCCACATAAGAAGCCCCAGACAGTTCTGCCCCTCCCACTTTCCCACACTCAGCACTTCCTCCTAGTCCAAAGCAGTTAACCCCAAAGTGGAAATCCACAGCCACCACACTGTTACATCCTCACAAACTAAGAAGTTCTCTGCCCCAATCTGTGTTCAGCAATCCTCCTAGATCTTCTAGTGCCCTCCTGATGGCAGGTGAGGGAGGAGGGTATCTGATTGCCCAGGGCTGTGGCTACAGACATAAAACTTTCTCTGTTCAGATGCTGGAATCCTTTATTCCTTCTGGTG